CTAAGTTGTGATGAAATTAAAAATGAAATTAATGTACAAGAATGTGAAAATGTAAATAAAATTATACAGCATTATAGTATTGTTCCTAGTAAATTTAGTGAATATTTTATTGAAAGAATCAATGAACAATTGTTCAAAGTTCCTACAATAACACATAAAAACGTCTCGAAATTAAAGTAGCTGTTCAATTTTTTTCTATATATAACGGTAAAATGCACATACAAGAAGAAAACAAACATCGTGAATTGATTAAAAAATATTAGTTGCTTTTTCAATTAATAGTATAAATATTGAGTGTCATATGTCACAAAATCAACAAAGAGAAGTGTCTGATTATACATTTGTTTTCACTAAGATGTTTAATCCAATATCTTTGCCTTTTTACATTATTTGGGAATTTGTCCAACAAAAAAATTTTAAAACTGTCAGTAATCATAACACACTTAATAAATGCCAACTCGTTGATGAAATACACAAATGTGATTATATAGTATTATTTCATTTTAATGAACCAAATTGAAAAAAAATTCATTTATTTTATGATGTATTAAAAATATTAAAAGATTTGAACGATTCATTTCAAAGCGTTAATACTGTTCTTCCTGTTTTTTGGAACCGCGAACAAAATTTTTAAAAATGTTGAAATAATTTGTAAGTGATATAGTTGTACATTGTTATTATCAATTACAAGCTTTTTTGTATACATCTAATAAACCAGACTTGTATTTTTTACTTGATTCGTTATTAAGAACTTCCCTATATTATTGGAGCTTTTTTTACAAAATAACAAAGTCTATGGAAATTATTGGAATTGAAATTTTTTCGATGTTAAAAATTGTTTGTTACTTGAAGGATTGTTTTTTCATTTGTAGTATGTAGATGATATGGTATCACTTCTGTATTTATTTGAAATTCTCGATGTTATTTTTATAAGTATTAGTTGTTAATAACATTGATCCGATATTCAAATCAGTTATTCCCGAATTGGAATTAATTACTAACAAATTAACAAAGTTGAACGCTCAACATAGAAAATTATTATTTAAAACCGCTAGTTTCAAATTGCCATTAACTAAGTATGATAAAGACCTCGATAAATTTGTTGATTTCAAGCAACCTGTAACTTTGTTGGATATCCATGATATGCTTGAAACAAATCAATGTGTTAAATTGATAAAAATTGTACAAACGTGTTTGTTGATATCTCCTACAACTGGTTCCCGAAAAATCCATTCTTGGTAACTCATTCTGTACAATTTACATTCTGGAAAACTCATTCTAAAAATTAATTATATTTTGTATATTTTTAAAGGTAAACTCATTATGGAAAACTCATTCTATGCAAAAGTTAACTTATAATAATTATCTAAATAATTTGTAACATATTAATAAATTCACAATTTTATAGAAAAATTTAGCAAATGTTATTTATGTTTTAATATACATGTATGTATACTATTAAACCATATTTTTAAATATAATTAATTATTTTTTATATTTTCTAATGTTTTTTCTGATTTTTTTATATTTAAACTATTTATTTTTTTTGTAAACAACACCCCACTCTAGTCTTTTCTTTGTAAACCACTGCAACTCTTTTAATGCTAACATCATCTTCATCATTTTTTCATCAAAACATCCTTTTTTGTATTTTAATATCTTTTTCTTTAATACTATTTTCATTTTCAAGTCCAATTTTGATTGTTTCAATGTTAATTATTCCATCATCATCTTCATCAATTTTAAGCAAATTGTGATTCAACATAACTATTTAGTTTTGCACGTCGTTGATTATGATACTTTGTTAGCGTTGTTTTTTTGTTTAATAGCACCCTCTTGGCTTCCCAAAAATTTTCAAATAATTTATCTTTGTCAGGTTGTTGCCCAGACTAATAATTTCTGATGTGATTCGTTATAAGTTTGTTTTGTCTTGAATATATTGGACTTTTTCTTGTGCTTTGTCCTTCTATCAGTTGATTCCATTTTTTCGTGTCTTTTTTTTCTAAATCACACAGTTTTCTAAACCATTCTGATAATGTTGGTTTTGATCTTAAAAGTCTCTTAATAAATGCAGAATGATAAGACTCTGAATAATTGTTTGTTCTGATATTTTGTAAGTATTGACACCACATAATAATAGGATACCTTGTATCCATCCAGGTTGACTCAAAATATTTTACAAATATATTACATTATTCACTTTGATACAATTCATTTGTTTTGAGTTCACCAAATTCCAATATTATATCTTGAGGTTTTAAAAATGGAATAACATACATTTTGTTTATAAGAGATGTGAAATTGTCATCATCTAGTTGAACTTTTATAAAACCACCTGTTTGAACTTTTCTCCAAAGTGCTTGGCAATAATGGAAATATCATCCTTTAATCAGACATTTAAACTGTTTTAAAGTATTAATAACGTCCATTTCATAATCAATCACAACAATTTTATTTTTCCAAATATGTCAAATCCAATATTTTGAGAAATTATATTAATTTCTTTAAAAAGTGAAGTGTACATTTTTTCTTCAAAACAAGTGGTTAAACAATAATACATTTTAAACAATTCACCAGTTTTAGTGACTCCGTGCACTGTGTACAATTGTGAAAAATTTTCTGGACACGACTTGAAAGTCCCATCCATTAAAATATAACAAATTGATTTTGTTTTTTTTGAGTTTGGAAATGTTGCTATAAATAACAAATTCTTGTGTTTCTATTAATTTGAATTCACCATACTTTTCATTTAAATGAACATCTTCTTTTTGTTTTTCTTTTGCTTTTTGCATGTTAATTTCCCTCAAAATTGTACTTACTCTTCTGGAATCTTTGTTTGTGTCAATTTTATCTAATAATATAGATCCAGGAACAGATAAATTGTCTTTATTAGTTGGAAGTTCTTGTATTTTGTTATTAATATTGAGTTGGATAAACGGATAGTGTGGTTTGTGATCATGTTTAAACATTTCAGAAGTGTATTTGAATGAAATAAATTTTGGTTTTTTTGTGTGGATATCTAATAAATTCTCTTGTAACTTTACAATTCTTATCTTTACATTTGAAAGCGCAAAGTTGCATCCAGTTTGGTGAAACACTTAATCATTTATAACAGGTAAATAATGTCGTCTTTGACTTTTTACAGACAATACAACTTCTTCTTCGTTGTTTATATTCGTTTCAGGTTGTTGAATTGATGTAACACTTTCTTTTTTTAAACTGTCGAAAGTAGTTGGTTCGATATTTTCATCGGGTTCTATATTGTTAAACATAAATAGACCACCGGTTAAAGTATCATAAAAAACATTTGGTGTATTGGTTGGCATGTAACGTAGAAATATGTTGGGTTGACCAAAAAATATATTTATATAAAAACGATTCAATTTTTATTTAATTATAAATGAATCGATTTTTACATTTTATAAGTGCGTGATATTTGCTTCTTTAATTTAATCAAAATGTGTTAAATATTAATGATAAATAAATTAAAATAATTATTTATTTTTTGCCTTTTTATTTTTTTGCATATTTTTGAGTTTTCCAGGATGAGTTTACCATTTTAAAAAAATTGCAAAAATAATTTTCAGAATGAGTTTTACAGAATGTAAATTGAACAGAATGAGTTACCAAGAATGGATTTTCACCCTACCCATTTACACAAACGGTTTTTATTTTTTTATTTATGAATATAAATAAAAAATCAATTTCTTTATTTGTTAGTATTGTTTTGTATTCAGATATTAATAATTCGTTGATTTTATCATATAAACCCAAATTTATGAAAAAACATCAAAATTCACATGATTGTTGATTGGTTTTTCAACAATTAAGGCATGGTAAAACCATCTTGTATTACTTAATATGGAAATATGAACTTGATCTTTTTGCCTTACTTTTTTGCTTTCCTTTTATTGCCCAAAAAAATTCACCGAGTTATTGTTACATTATTTGAAATGAATTTTAATAACGCCAAAACAATTTTTCATATATAGTAGTCCATCTAAAAGACTCACCAACATTCATTATATGGCATAAACAATAATGTGACATATAAATGTCCAGTATAATTTTTTTAATCTTAAAAAGTTCATCTTTTTTAATGACAGTTTTGAGTTTTTTCTTTTCTAAGCAATTTACAAACTACAGAACAACACCCTTGCATTACTATACGTCCATTTGTTGTACAAAACACGCATTTCAACAAAGATTCTTTGAATTGATTTTGTATTGATTGGGTTGATTTTCTTCTTGTTTCAAAGAGGAAATTGTATAAATAAGAATTCGCCAAATTATTTAAGTATTTAAACGCGTAATAATGAATAAAAATATCAAAATGCGTGGACTTTCTGGGTATCACATCATGATAGTCTCAATTTACTTTGAGACAATCAAAAAACTTTTTAACTTGAAATTAGTATGCAAGAAATTTAGAGGCATTATGGAGAAGTTTCACTTCAACCCGATTCGGTTAAATTACACAACAATTAGGTACTTTCCAAACATCGAGATACTTCATTTGTGGAATAGAGATAAAGAGAATTTTTTAATGGAATATTCGTCCCCATTGAATATTATGAATATAAAATTGTTTATAAAAATTAAAATGATGATAATGAAATTTAAAAAATGTTATTATACCATTAAGTGTTACATATATTGGTGATTTGTGTTTTAGTGAATGTATTAGTTTGAGCAGTGTTACAATACCATCAAGTGTGATATCAATAGGTGAATATTGTTTTAATAAATGCAGTAGTTTAACTAATGTTACAATACCATCAAGCGTCACATCAATTGGAATTCAATGTTTCCCATTAAATACAATAATTCATCGTGATTAATTTACTTGTTACTTTTATTTGATGTTTATTATTATTTTAATAAATATAATTAATAAATTTAACTAAATTATAAATGTTATATTATTAAATTATTATTAATAAAAAACAATTGAAAAAATCAAATTAAATTATTATGCGAAATTGATTTTATCAATTTCTTTAATATTTAGCCCGAAAAGTCCGAGGAAGAAGCTCCCCCACCCGCCTCCTGGGAACAGAGATTACTTATATGTAATATTGTGTAATTTGGTGAGTATATACCACGTTATTATAAAATAATAATAATAAAAAAATAATAAAATAAGTGATATAAAAAAAGTAGTATAAAATATATTAAGATCTGACTACTTTTTTTATTTTTTCAAAATTTATTTTTATAATATTGTTACAATAAAAAATATTTCAAAAGAGGTAGATCTTGAGTTCTAAATCCGTAAAAATTTATTATTAAAAAGGTTTACAGACCCTTATTATCATCATAAGGTATTTCAAAAAAACATACACGAATGAAGAGTTCTGGTCTAGGTTAAGGAAATTTTTTTTGAAAATTTAGAACAAAAAAATGTACCAAAAATGAATATATATTATTTGCTTTGTTTTTGTGGATTATAATCGGCTGTTTTAAATTTTGAAACACAACATGTAATACAGTAAAACCTCCCAAGAGCAGGAGGGTACGGTCAATTTTGTTTTTTAAGAGCGGGCGTTTTATTTTTAACTTAATTTTTTTAAGAAGAAAAAACACTTTTTAATGTATAATTAAAAACATAGAAAAAGAAAAATAATCAAAAAGAAAAAAATACCACGTGTTAATTTTAAGATGATTTTAAACAATGTTTAATTTGGCTCACAAATGTTATTTTTTTAAAAAATATCATATAATTTTATAATTTATTTATGTCTTTACCAAAACCAAAAACATTTTTATCAATTGATGAAAAAAGCAAATTTTATAATGTGATAATGCTTCCCCGAAACCGTCATTGAAAAAACTGAGAAAAATAATAAAACAAAATTTACAAAATTGTTTAAAACGTGAGTCTTTTAGGATGTTGTAAAAGTATGGTATCAAGGGAAGTTTGATTGAGCCAACAATACCAGGGAATGCCAAAGTTTTCAGAAAAGTTAAAACACCCATACTTGGAAGAGAACATGCTCAAGATGATAGAAACTGTGATGTCATACAATACTCCAGTTTGCTACAATGTTGTAAAGAGCTTAGCAACTAAATACCGCTTCGAAAAGGGATATGATGCTTTCAAATGGTTGGATTTCGTCGTTTTGTTCAAGAAATCAACTTTAATCAAAGAAATTGTGCGGATAAAGCAATTCATTTGACCCAGATAAACAAATAGAAGGCAATTGATAAGCTGGTTGAATTTATTGCGCAGTATGCTCCTAATAATGTGTACAACGCGGATGAAACAGGTCTTTTCCATAAGCTGTTACCTTCCAAAACATTGTCAAGTGGTTTTAATAACCATAGAGGGAAGGAGGAAATCGAAAGAATTACAATTTTGATATGCTATTCACTGAGTGGAAAAAAAGAAAATATTTTGGTTGTTGGGAAGTATCGTAATCAAAGGTGATTCTCTGATGGAAAGTACACCACCGTTAAACAATTCTACGACTTTCAAAATAATGCTTGAATGAACATAGAGCCTTTTTATCGATGGCTACTCAAATGAAAAGAAGCACTCACAAGAGAAAACAAAAACATTATTCTTATAGTAAATAATCCTCCAAGCTACAAGCTAATCATAACTACGACTTTTGAATAAGAAAAACCCGGCTACAATTACAAAAAACAAAACGAAAGGGGATTGCATGTGTATGAACTAAACCTTGCACATATAAGGCTGGAATTTTTACCAAAAAAAACACGACATCAGTTTTCCAACCATGTGATGCAGGAATAATACACTTATTCAAGGCAGCACATCGAAAAAAATAGCAAATTTAAAGGCAGAAGAAACTATTAATGCTAATTCTCAGGGTAAATGAATTCAGGGTTCAAAATGAAAGTGGGCGATGCCATATTAAACGATGTCGACTGTTGAAACAATGATGTTTCATCCGAAACAATAGTTGGCTGCTAAAAGCATGCTTTGAATAGAAAAGAAGGTGGAAGGATTTTGGGAGATGTAACGGGCTATTCCATTGAAATTTTGATCGAAGAGAACGAAGAACCCACTGATGTTGGAGAACCTGAAAAACAATGAGATATTTGGTCGAGAATTGAAGATTTGAAAACTACTGATGGTGAGTAAAATTGATGAACTAAAAGAAATAAAAGAACAGTACAAGGAACTTTGTGACAGAAAAATGTTCCCATGGAAATAGATAGTAATTAATTTGAAATCTCGTAATTTATGTTGAAACAAACTTTGAAAAAACTACTACCTGAGGTGGCTCGTGGCTCAGATATTTATTTTTGATTTATTTTATATCAATTTCTATCGTTTTTTTGGCAAAAACTTTCATTTACAACCATTTTTTAACTTTTAAAAAAATTTGCATTTTTTGATATTTTTTAATTATATTTTTTTTTGTTTTTCTAATTATTCAAATGGTATTTACCAAAAAATAGAAATAACAATCCCGATTATTTAGAACAAAAAACAATAAACTGTCAGTATCTATTGAGTGGTTTTAAATGTTTGATTGGTTAAAAATGCCCGCTCTTGAGAGAACCCCCCTTTTAGAGGTACCGCTCTTGGGAGGTTTTACTGTAGTTTTCAATGAATATTTTTTGTTTTAGAAAAAAAAATAAAACAAATAAGTATTTTATTTTATAAAACATCATAATGATCAATTCAAATATATGTAAACATTATTTGTTGTTTTAATTTATTTTATTAAACAACTGATTAAATAAAATTTACAATATTTTTTATAAAAATTAAGGGGAAAACTTATTATAGCTATAAAGGAATGGGAAAAACCGATTTTGATGATTTAATGGTTAAATGATAATATATTATAGTTTTTTGTATAGTTTTTTCCCTTTTCCTCGATTTGATTCAAAAAAAACAAGGTTTACAAATGTATTTATTACTTTTTTAAGATGCCGATGTTTGTTATAGATATTTGTGAATTATTTTTTATGTAAAGTAAAGGCTGGATTTTCCGAATGATAAAAAAGGAGCAAAAAAATTGACTTCGAAACTGTTCTTTGAAGCCAAAATAACCAAAAAACAACTCAGAATTTATCAAATAAAATGAACTTTTTATTAAATATTTTTTCAATTTTTTACAGAAATAAAAAACTCAAAAACACTAACCCGCAAGTGTACCCTTTTTTACACCCCCTTTCACTCCTTAATATTTTTTTTCATTTTTTTTAATCGTCCATTAAACAAATACTCAACAGTCAAATCGATTACCTCTCAAGCAACATAGTTAATATATGGGTTAGCACGTGTTTTTTAATATGACACTATTCAATGTCTCTCAGCAAAGACAGACTGCACCTTTATTTCACACCCCTCTTGTTGGATTCCTCATTCGCTCAGAAATGTATTTCACTGTCAAACTGAAAAAAACGCACTTTGGACTTACTCACCAACTGAAGGTAAGTGCATCCTGTATTAG